TTTTTTGGTTCTTCCCACGGCACCTCAACTTTCTTTTTTCCTACTTGATGCCGTAGGCATAAGAACAAGCCTGCAATTTCAAGGGCGGGAAGAGGGGTTATTCCTAAGCAAGTCCCTCTTATGGGACTGAAATCCTATCTGATTAGGGTTCCACCATTATGACCTCATTTTAACCTTAACTGCTTCCTAAAGACCCGTCCCTGTATATGGTCACATTGGGAATTAAGGCTTCAACATATCAAGTGTGGGGACACAGTTTAGTCCATAGCAAAAAATTAACAGAAAATAAACAAAGGTCTGGCACTTATCTCTATCATTTCCTTTCCTCCTGACTTTACTCTCTTGTTCTTTTTCTAGTGTAGCTCATTTGTTTTCCATTTTTTTCTTCTTTTTGGGTAAGCCTATTGAAGATACCATCTTTCTTACAAGCATTGCTTAATTCCATCCACCAAATTTTGTTATGTCGTGCTGTCATCTCTAAGTATTTCCCATTTGAGAACTTTTTCAATGCAAGGTTCTCAAAGTTCATGGTCATTATTATCTTTTAATATTTTGCTCTTTGTACAAGCATATAATCCTCTTTGTCACGATGTTGGTTTTATCTGGAGCTTTATCTCCAGATTTGTATAGAAATACTTTTCTACTGACAGGTAAGAGACAACTTGGGGAAATATATTTGCTATATATGAGATAAGGGTTCTGTCTACACTTCTGGGACAGTGTAGACTTGTAATCTATCACTTAGCCACCTCGGGAAAAGAGAATTCTAATATTGCCTTACAGAAGTCATTTTGGCCAAAAGCAGAGGAAATAATTCAATGTGTTTTCATCAGTCAGATAGTCTAGTGTGTATTAAATTCACAATCAACACCCAAGTCTCAGGAGCTGACAATGACCAAGGTTTATTTCTTGAGCATGTTACATATCATTAGGGGCTGGAGTTAAATTATCCTTGGTTCATGTGGAGGATTGAGTAGATGGTGGCTAAGAGACACTCAATCTAACTTCTTCCACAATTGCCAGGCAGGAAAAAAACACACTTTTATTGGTAAATCCTCCCCTGTCTGCCAGAGCTTCTGCTTGCAAGAAGCTCTCACTTCTGTGTTACTGCTGCTCAAGTGTCATCAGCCAGAGTGCCACATCGTCACACCTAACTTTAAGAGGCCAAGGGAATATATCCCTTCCGTGGGCCATACAAGCGCCAACAATACCTGGAGAATTGCAGCAATGACTCTTCATGACTCTATACCCTATGCCCTCTATTGTCCTTTCCAAAGCCTATTTTTGCTTTTGTTTGTTGATTTTTTTTAAAACATTCCCTTTTATGTGAGTTATTATACATCCTTCTAGTAAACTTCTTTAATAATAATAATAAAGAGAAATGTGGAGCATCTTTTCACATGCCAATTGGCCATCCGTATGTCTTCTTTGGAAAAATGTCTGTTCAGGTCCTCCACCCATTTTTTAATTGGGTTATTTGGTTTTTTTGGTGTTGAGTCATATGAGCTTTTATATTTTTGGATAACCCATTACTGGATAAATTGTTTACAGATATATATATAAGGCATTAGACTTGGCATCATAAAGGCTACTGAGCAGCTTATGAAACTGAATGTCAGCTTATACTTTGGACTGATGTGAAAACAAGGGATGCACATGTGTTTGATGGAAAAGGTTTTTATAGCAAAAGAAGCAGGGCATGGCATGAGCCAATATTGAGATTCAGATAATTGTTGGTAGCCATCACTTGCCAGGTAGGGAGCCAGGTATATTTACATATACTATCTAAGTCAATTTAATTTTTTATAAAAACAATTTGAGGTGAGTCTTATTACCCAACATTTATACAGGCAGAAACTGAGGCTCAGAGGGGTGAAATGACCTGTCCAAAGCCACATATCTGGCAAGAGACAGCTTTGTTTTAATTTTACTGTTCGACCGCACAGAGGTGAAACAGAGTAACACATGTAGGTTTGGATGGCATGCACTGTTTGATAGGACTGTGAGATACAGGAAAGGTGGGAGGGGACCTTGAGTGCAAAGGTAAAGAGATTGGAGTTTACTAGTTGAGCAGTTAGAGGAAGGTTTCTGAGTCAGAGGGGGCACTGGTGAAGCTAAGTCTCTGAAGCATTTATCTGCTATTGTCTAGGATGAATAGAAATGGGGCACCCCAGAGACCTGGAGACCAGTGAGAGGAATATTGTAAAAGCTCAGATAGGGCTGAATAAGTATGGGTGTTGGCAATGGAAATAGAAAACGGTATTTCATCTAGTCTTTAGCCCTTTGGGAATTGCTGAATGAAGTCTCAGTTCTCCCTATGTAGGTGACTCCTACTTTCCCTTATAGATTCCTCAAGAACTTGCTCCCAGGAAAAGCCTGGATCAAGAATAGAAATAGGCAACTGACAAAGGAGTCTACAAAGCTCCTCTCCCCAAAACCACCTCTTTCCCATGAGTCGGGGGGGGGGCTGACATTTCACCTATGGGTGTCATTCTGTCAGGTCTCTTATTAAAGCATGACTGTTTGGGGATAAGAGGGAGAATGGATACTGGAAGTTTTTTCATTAGCAGCATCTAAGCAGGTAACAGAAAGGCATGGGGGCAATCTGCATGGGTACCACCAAGAATGGGGCACACATGCTCCCCTGAAAAGGGCTTCTCAGCTCTGGCTGAGAGGTCCAAAGTGGCTGGGTCTGCTATTTCAACAGAAACTGCTTATCTAGGATATTTTGGGGAAAACCTGCAGTTTAAAAATATTGCAACCAGTTTAAATTAGCTAATATCTCTGTGCTGGCCACATTCACCTCTCATTTGGTTGCCAGTTTGTCTCCTCTAGGTTAAGCTTTAACACCATTTTAGGAAAACCTTTGCAAACTGGGAAGTACATCTTTGGTAAAACATCATATAGAGCAGGTTCATTTGGGTGGTTGAGAGGCTGGATGGAGAAGTTTGGGCGCTAGGCACATACTGCAGGGAGGCCCTGGGGACAGGGAGGCCATCCTGCTGCCTGGGCCTTGAGAAGGAGACGGGCCACAGCCGTGGCAATATCTGCTGCCAGCAGGGCCTCCTGGCTGGCCATCCAGAGCTGGGCTTGGAGCAGAAGGAGGGACAGGCAAGGCTTGTGTTTCTCTCAGCTCCAGTTGGCCCCTTGCATTAGCATTACAGCAATGCGGTCCTGTGGTGTGTGAAAAAGCATCCCTAGTTACACGGAATGATTTACAGGACACCAGACTCTGCATTTCAGAAGTCTCCAGGGTACCATAAAAAATATATTATAAAGGAATAATCTTTATCTGAACTAAAGCTGCAGTGAAGGAAACTCATGTCCAGCTGAGAGCAGCAGTGAGCTTTTGTTCACTCAGGGAAAAGTCCATGTTCTTCATTTTATTTGATTAACGTTTTTTTTTTCCTCTTTAGCACTAGATATCTAGTTAATATTTAGACGTTATATACCTTTTCTTTCAACTGTTGTTCTTATTATGTGATCAAACAGAATCAGAGATGTTAGCTGCATCACTCCCCTCTCCCCCAGGTGAAAGCAGACCCGCTGGGCACCCAGCTGTGGCTACAGGGTAACTGGGACTCACCCTGGCCAGCGCCTGGGAGACAGTGGCTGGAGGCGTGCGCAGGGCCAGCCCCTGGCGCCAGGACGCAGTGTCCGCTCGAGTGTCTCAGCTGATTACTCTGCTTTGTCCGCCCATTCCAGCTTCCCATATCCAATACGTCTCTGAGCAAAAGGCAATGGGAAGCAGAGTCTAGTTTTGAATCTTCCAAAGCCTTCTGATGTTTACCTTTCCCCCAGGAGAGGGTGAGGGATGGAGATCTTTCTCCAGAGAAAATACACTTCATTCTTCTTAAAAAAATTCAACGAAGCGATGCACAGACACCCTACAACCCAATTTGTCTGTGCTTATTGGGTGTTTAGAGTGATAAGGACCTTAGTTTCTTTCAGTCCAGGGAGACCTGAAATCCTTTATTGGCAATGTCCTCAAGGGACGAAGGTATAAGGGTGGTGGAAAGGGAATAGTCTCATCTTTGGGAGCAGAAAGCACATTTACCCGCTGGTGGGTCAGAAGCAAAGTGTCTGTGGCAGGGAAACCTGGGGGTTGGGTAAAAGATCCATCCATTGGGAGCTTCAAGATAATAAGAAAGGGAAGGCTGGAAAGATGTCAGTTGGCATGGAAAGCTTTTGTGGGGAAGAAATCATTCCCTGGCCAAAGTCAGGAGGAGGCTATCCAGGGTGACAGAAGGCGGGTCAGGAATGGGCCGAGTTTGCCCGGAGTCCTAGGGGAAAAGGGGAAGCGAGAGCTTGCCACGCTCTGGCCCTCAGCTCCCTTGAGCGCCTCACCCACGCTGGCGTCGGGCTCCTGGTCCCTAAAAGTGCTGCGAAAGGGATGGAGAACTCGGCGTCCCAGGCTCCCAGGGGAGGGGAAGCACGCGAGCCTGGGAGGGGAACACCTCCAGCGCCTGTGTGCGTTCAGTGGGGGGCACGATCTCCGCTTTCCCGGGCGCCCCAGCCCAGGCGCACGCCCCCGCTCACGCGCCCCCCTCCGCAGGCGCGCGCGAAGTACACCCTCCCTTCCCTCGGCGGCGCGGGGCGCGCGCCCGGCACCCTCCTCCTCCCTCCGCGCCGCTCCGCTCTCCCGGCAGAAAGTTAGCAGCGGGGAAGGAACTCGGGGCTGCAACAGTGCGCGGCGGCGGCGGCAGAGGCTGAAGCAAGAGCCGCGGCGGCGGAGCCGGGGAAGCGGGGGCGCTGCAGACGGAGCAGGTGCAGCCGGAGGGTCCGCGCGCCCCCCTCAGTCCCCTTGCCAGAGGCTGAGGGGGGGCGGTGGGGGGCCACCCGGACTCAGCGGGAATAGTGGGGAGGGGGGCCATGCGGCCGGGCTTCCCCCGGGCGAAGCGGGACAGCGGCCAGGGCCGGGGGCGCAGCGGCGTCGCCTCATGCAGCCGGGGCGGCTGGGCAGCAGCGGCGGCGGCGGCGGCGGCGGCGGCGGCGGCGGCGGGGGCGGCGGCTGAAACCATGTCCGGGCAGCGCCGGGGGCCGCCGCCGCCGCCGCCGCGAGCCGGGAGCCGCGATGGCCCCGTGGCCCGCACCTCCTCCGCCTCCGCCTCCGCCTCCACCTCTCGCCGCGCCGCCGCCGCCTGGCGCCTCTGCTAAGGGGCCGCCGGCGCGCAAGCTGCTTTTTATGTGCACCTTGTCCCTGTCCGTCACCTACCTGTGCTACAGCCTCCTGGGCGGCTCGGGCTCGCTGCAGTTTCCCCTGGCGCTGCAGGAGCCGCCGGGAGCCGCCGCCGAGCCCCCGCCGAGCCCGCCGCCACCCTCGCTGCTGCCTCCCCCCGTGCGCCTCGGCGCCCCCTCGCAGCCGCCCGCGCCACCGCCGCCGGACAACGCGAGCCGCGGGGAGCCGCCCGAGCCCTCCGAGCAGTCCGCCTCCCCCGGGGCCGACGGCTGGGGGTTGGCGAGCGGCGGCGGGGGCGCCCGGGACGCCTGGCTCCGGGCCCCGCTGGCCCCCGGCGAGATGATCACCGCGCAGAGCGCGCTGCTGGAGAGAGAAGCGCACGAGTCCAGCACCACCGACGAGGAGCTCGCAGGCCGGCGGGCGGCCAACGGGAGCAGCGAGAGGGGCGGCGCCGCCAGCACCCCCGACTACGGGGAGAAGAAGCTGCCCCAGGCGCTGATCATCGGGGTCAAGAAGGGAGGAACCCGCGCGCTGCTGGAGGCGATCCGAGTTCACCCGGACGTGCGGGCGGTGGGCGTAGAGCCGCACTTCTTCGACAGGAACTACGAAAAGGGGCTGGAGTGGTACAGGTAGGACCTGGCGCGGCGTGGGGGATGGACGCGTGGGGAGACCCGGAGGGGAAGCCGCCGCTTTCCACACCCCTGGAAATCCAGACGCCACCGTCCCGAGAGCCCTCCGCCCCACGAGGGCTCCGCGTACCCTGGCGCTGGCGGGGCTGCTCCTGGGGTGCGGCGGAGAGGGCTGGACCCTGACCGAGAAGCACTTTATTTCAGGGTTAGGGTAGATGTCACCCTGCTCTGCCTGCCGCGGGCTCCTCGTCCAGGGAGGTGCTCTGTGAATCTGGCCAGCTCCAAGCCGGGGAATCCCCAGTCCTCGTGCCCGTGGGGTTTTCCTAACCCAGGCACTGGCGGGGCTCTGCGTTTTTGTGTTGAGGACGCCGCGGAACGAAACAGGATAGCTAGATTGATCATTGGGGAATTTGAGATCCCCAGAAATCTCTCAGAATCGCCCTCAAATGTATTTGCGTGGCTGGAGTCCAACTTCAGTATTTTCAGGTTAGAGCAAAATGAACAAGGAACGGTTGAAAAGGTGATGGAGACGAGATTCGGCTTTCTAGTAACGACTGAGGCTGCTCCCCCTCTCCAGAACTTTCTGTCCCCCTTGGCCACGTGAACACGGAGTCGATTTTGCATAAGGAGCATCACTGTCTACATGACAGTTGGCGCCCTTAGAGTTTGTATGCCGGGCACCCGTGTCCTTTCCAACCCGCGCCAACAGATTGGGCTTATGTCTTGTGAAATGTTCATCTCCCTCCTTTTCCACACTCTGCCCTTGGTGAGAGAAAGGAAGAAGAGAGATGTGGAAAGTTAAGTGCAGCTAAAATAAATTAATAAACCAGCTTTCTTGCTGGCCATAGCACCTAAAACAATACTGGTACGGATGCCCCAAATGCAAGTCCCCTTAACTTCTTTCGTTTTGTATCTCTTTGGAAAACAGATTTGGAGAGCTGGCCCCATCTCAGTTGCATCTCAGTAATTAATTGTAATTGTCAAACGAAAACACAGGCTTTGTCAGCTGAAGTGATTCTATCATCTTAACAGAGACATTAGGTAAAATAAGGATGGTTTCCTGACAAGTCGCCTTCCTGTTGAAGAGATGTGCTTTCTAATTTTAAATTACAGCCTGAGAAAGTTTTAGAAATGACTTAAGAAATATAAAATAGAAGTGTGCATTATGAATGATGTCTTCCACTTTAAAAAATATGCCTTATGCTTTCAAAGCTTCAGAGAAGTACAGTTAAGCATACACATTCCGGCACATTAAACTGAAACAGCAAATGTGTCTGTTAATGCCTTGTCTGTTTTAACAGAGAGAACTAATTGCAATATTTTAAGAGGCTTCAAACAGCCCCTTCCTATCAAAACATAAAACAGCAAATGCCTAATTTAACTGGAAAATCAGTATTTATAACATCACAAGCCATGGCTTCCAGTTTGTGATTATAATTAAAAAGGTGTTAGGATGATTAATGCAACAGCAAAAGAAAGAAGGGCTATGCTGTCTGGGAAGGTTTCAGTTGTTTAATTGTTGGTTATAGGAATATTCTGGTTTCTGCTGTGGGACAGCTTTGGCCTTAGGAGGGTAACTGTGGCTTTTTCCAATTCTAATTTTAAAGTTGTGTATCTTGGGAGAAGTGTCAAGTGCCCTTTGGTGGAGAGGGAGGCATAAAGATAGAATCTTTCCAGTGTGTCTGGGTTGCTTTGCAGCAGCTGAAAACAGATAAGGGGGTATTTTATTATCCAGATGATTTAAAATAAAGTTGAGGAGGAGTGCATGGTGGAATGCATGTCAGGCAGTCCCATTGAAGGGGCTGGAGAATTTTCTGAATGAAAGGATGGAAGATGCCAGATTTTCCTATGTTCTTTTATACTGAGGCTGGGAAAAGAAGGCCTCTAAACTGCCTTGCTCCTATGACATGGCCCTTGAAGCTATTATTGCAGCACAGTGGTGCTCCCAGCCATCACATGTGTGAGATTTAGGGTTCAGTGACAATATTTGGAGCCAATCACCAAACTGTTATACAGAAGAGGTGGGGATAGAACTAGATTCCCTTGGTCCTCACTGAGGAAGACCATGTGACACCTCTGTGTCCCCAATCCCCTACCCCAGCGTCTAGCCCATGGGAGATCCCTTGTACCACTTAGTGGTGCAGATTGGACGTGCTGGAGAAGAATCTGTCCGGTATGGAGGACTCATTAGCCACTCAAATCTGGCTGTTGAGAAGACTCCCAGACACCCATTTGACCCAGTGGATACCTCTCCAGCCTTACCAGGGACAGATGTACTGTGATGGATTTTGTGGGTTTTCGTTAGCTCCATCTATACAGGCTTCCTTCTTTCTCCCATGAAGGAAGGTGGGATGAGAATAACGTCACTTTTTTCTAGAAAAGGAAACAGTGGCATTAATTCAAACCAATAACAGAAATATTTCCTCTTGGTTCCCAAGTCCAACTCCTTTTAAATGGTAGAGTCTGTGTTTAATGGTTATGCTTCCTCCCCATGCACCATGTATTTATTCTGCCTGAAATCTTAGTCTACTGTTTGTCTGATTAGAGATCCACAGGTTAATTAAAGGTTTTGGTCCCCATTATTTATTTGTTTTGTCTTTGTTTTTCTTTTCGATGTACCTCCTAACAGCCTACTAATTCTGCAGGCATTTCTGGCGTTTGTGTTTTCAGCAAGAGGAGGAAGCAAGAAGGAATTGGGGCTGTTCTGCAGAGCCAGCTTGGGTTTTTCTCTTCTCCAGCTAAGCAGCCCTAGCAGTTTTATTTCCTTGGTGTCACTCCAGTTATGTCTAAATCTGGGTTTTGCTTTCTCCTGTGCTGTTGATCTAATGTGATGTAAAAACACATTTGAGATTAGAACATGTGCATTAGATTTTCAGGGCAAGATAGACTAATGGATTAGGATGCGTGTTAAAGCTGTGAGAAAGCAAGCCACACTTGGTGGATTGGCACAGGCCAATGATTAATAAGTGGGGGTAGATTAAACCCACCTTTCCTCCCTCCCACCAATAAACTAAAATAAAATGGCAGAGTCACAATACCCTTTTCAGTATGAGCTGATACAATGTCTGGGCAGAGGCCTTAAGCTCTTCAAAGCAATGGGACACTATGGCAGCTTGCCACAACAGAACCCATCAAAGTGACAGAGGGGACTTGAGCTGTTGCTTCCTTGTGGTTTACAGACTGTACGGAACCCATATCCACTTTGCTTTGGAAACCACTTGGCTCCTGGGAAAATGGGAAGTGACCCTCCATGGTTTCAAGTTGTCTTCACTGGTAAAAGTTAATACATTTGTCCCATGAGCTAGGGAAACCAGTTTCCCCAGCCATGCTCTCCAGAGGACAGAGGTGAGCTGTATTGCATGGTGTCTGGAGAGGTGGCAAAGGAGGCTGATGGAGAGGCACTGGCATTTATTGGACACCAGTTATTTGTGGTGGTTGGAGCTTTAGAGATGTGTAAGCACATTCGAGTGTTGTGATGAGACTGTGAGCTAAACAGCAGCATTCCTGCTTTCCAGGCGGCTCCTGGAGGGTAAAAGAGGGGTGCAAGGTTGCTGAGTTGGGAGATGTAGCTGTGAGCTGGTCAGGAAGTATGGATCTGCAGGGCGATGGAGTAATGAACTTAACACCCTTAAGGTTGCACGAATCACACAGTTTATTTTGCAATTTCCTTTCACACAACACTCAAAGGGGGAATAAAGCATATCTGAAAATCACACATACCACAAATCAATACATCTCATACTGGTCACAACGGATGGTTCAGGTCTGGGCTGTCCCAGCCAGCCTCTCATCTGTCCCAGGGGGAAGGCGATACAGTGGGGACAGTTCCAGTGGAATGATGAATCCATGAGGGAGCAGGAGCAAGCCTCGGTGCACCTGTCTGTGGTCCAGTGGTCATGGTGTGGGCATTCACCGGCATGCCATTTAGGGTGGGGTATGTTTACAGAGACAGTCAGTGAGAAAGCAGGCAAGCCTGATATAAGCAACTCCATACTGAAGACCTGACATATGCAACTCCATATTGGATGCTCACATCAAGTGGTCGAGCTGACCACATCTGTCCAATTTCAAAGAGCTGGTTTCTTTCCCTTTACTACACTGCCTGCCACTCATTAAGTGTCACAGGGTTTTTTCCTTCCTTTATTCTTCCATTCAACAAACACTGAGTAATTATTACCATGTACCTGGTACTGTTGTAGGTAACAGAAATAAAGTGGTGGATGGGATGAGCAAAGCTCCTGTTCTCCTGGAAGCTAACATTGTAGTAGGGGGCAGGGGAGATGGCAAACAATCTTTCTTTTTGTTTTTCTTAACGTGCGGCTAGAAAATTTTAAATTACCTGTGACTCACATTATACTTCCACTGGACAGGGTTCCTGTAGAGGGGTGCTTTTCAACTTTAAATGTACATTAGTCACCCGGGATGTTAACATGGAGATTCTGATTTAATAGGTCTTGGTGGGGAAAGGCCTGAGAGTCTGCATTTCTAATTTCCCAGGTGACACTCATGCTGCTGATCCCTGGACCTCACTTTGAGTAGCAGGGGTCTAGAGAGTAACCAGTTTTGTGTGCGTGTGCGCGCATGCACGCATGCGTGCAAGCATGTGCATATGTTATTTTAGATCAAATGATTAGGGAAAACCTCTCTGTTGAGGTGATGTAAATGAAGTGAAAGAGTAAGCTCCTGCCATGTGAAGATCTGGGTGGAGAGGTTTCCAATAGAGGGAACAGCAGATGCAAAGGCCCTGAGGTAGAAAACCTCAGAGCTTTGCAAAGTGCTCTTTCATTATTCCAAAAGCATTATGTTTGTAGCTGGGCAAAAGTGGATTCGAAACCTGGCTTTGCAACTTACTAGTTGGATGATCTGATGTAACATCACTCACTTTCAGTTTATTTGAGAGTAATTCCTTTCTTGCAGGGTTGTGGTGGAGGAATAAATGAAACAATAAAAGTGAATATATTTTCTAAAGAAAAGATGGGTGGGTATCCCACAGCAGAAATCCAAATGGACCCAACTACTGTGTTTTTCCATTTCTCAAATTATTTTGGTCTCCGTATGCTTTCCCTTCTGTCATAATATTGACCAAAGAGTCTCTTATTTGGGATATCTTTCAAAAAAGTCAAATAATGATTGGCTTTGCAATCTACATCTGCTTAACCTTTTAAACCCAGGGTCGCCATCTCAGATGCCTTTAGGGCCCAGGTGGATCATATAAATGAGTGAACTAGACTAGATGGGGAGAAGCTGGGTCTTCTCTATTTAAAGGGGCAGACGTGCTATGTTCCTGCTGTGTCCCTGCTATATACCCTTTTACATGTGCAAACGTGGCGTCAGGTTACCAGATATTCCACTTTTTAAGAGGAACTGGAAATCCAGGTTTTGATGTGAAATCTCCCGGTTTTTAATGTTAGCAACAGATTGAAATTTCTTAAAAGCATCGTATGGGCAACACTGCAGGACGGACAAAACACATCTGTGGGCTGGAGACAGCCAGCTGGCTACCAGTTCGCGACCTCTGGTTTAAACTCATTTCAGAAAGTCACGGGCATAACCACAGCCTTTGCAGTTGCCAGAATTCTGGCTTACATGTGCTATTTCAGTTCAGATTTTTTCCCCCTTTACAGATTTTGCAACAGCATGGGGGAAATACCTCACAGATATACCGCAACAAAACAAGAGGAGCTGGATATAAACAAGAACATTGAGACAAAAAAAGACAATTCACAAATAAATTTTCCTTTTGTTCCCAGTGAACATTTTCCTGAAGGTGAGAACATTCTCATTGTTCACTCATTAAGCAGGAGCATCTGTATTTGATCCAGATAGATACATTATGCTTTTAAAAGAGACTGGTCAGGTGGATTGAGTAAGACCTGAGAGGTGGAAAAATTGATTCACCACATACTAGTTCTGATGGAAGTCAGGTCACTTAAATCTGTTTTTCCTTCCTTCCTTCTTCCCTCCCTCCCTCCCTTCTTCCCTTCTTTCCTTCCTTCATCTCTGTTTCTTAGATGATGAGGATATATGGTCTTCAGAGAATCCATGTGAAATACTTTAGTACTAGAACAAAACTCTGTATTATATTCTTTAAAGGGAGGAATCTATTAGCTTCCTAATAAAGTAAAACCAACATTGTTTGGAGTACGTCCACCCCCTCCCCCCATCTCTGAGTCAGAATCTACTGCATCCTCATTCTGTGACCTCGGACAAGTTACTTAATATCACCAAGCCTCAATTTCTTCATCTGCAAAATGGGCTCAATGTTACTTCCAAGGGATTGTGTGTGGATGAAATGGGAGAATTTGAGACAGTGCCTTTCTCTCTCTTTCCTCTGTCTTCCTCTCTCCCATTTTCCCTTTTCCCCCTGGCTTTTCTTCTTCAATCTCCTTCAATTTCTCCCTTTTATCGTGCCTATCAGTACTGAAGGCCCCAAAGAGAAAGCTGTAATGCATTCTTCATTTGTATATAGTCTTTTATTTCAAGATTATGTCTGAACGAGGGATTTCAAACCCTGAAGCAGCTCTTAAGTAGCTCTCCAGAGAATAATCAAACCCGGATTCCAGAATTTGGTCTATTGTAACTTGAGCTGAAGGAGGAGAAGTCTGATTTCACGAGGCAACTGGAGCCAGACTTCTGCGCCGCAGGGACGGGGTGGGGACGTGACAGGCACTGTGGGCTCCCGCACTCTGTTGTTTTCTGGAACCGACAGTAGGAATTGATGCTGCTTCACCCTGGATAGTCACAGTGGCACTTAGAATGCCAAAAGCATGCTTGCCTTCAGGTGTTCTGCAGAACTGAAGGCATTTGAGAAGGCAGGACTGTCTGGGAAGACCCCGGACAACTCCATCTTGCGGTCTGGCTGCTTTCACTGGTGTTCAGCTGCCATCATAACATGATGTATTTATTTTTATTTTTGTAGGTCATACCAGGCATTTTTACTTCTAACTTGCGTCCAGAGAGGGGCCCTGAGATTGCAGGTGAATGAGAGATTGCTCGGTGTTAGAAAGTTTTAAAGATTTTGGTTTTGCATAATGGATGATATCTCTGTAACTGATTGAACCACTTGCCCTGTTAATCTCTTGATTCCATTGGTTTCTGTGGTTTAACAAGCATCTCTATAATTGTCTTGGGAATTTCAATCTGAAATTATAATTCACTAAGGGAGCTTTTCAGCCTGTCTGCTATTAATTAAAAGCAGGCAGTTGATTTTTTTTTAAACACTGACTAGTTAGGATTGCCTTCCTTTAAATGTTTTTTTCAACCTTTATTTAAGAATATATGAAGCCTATTTACAGGGAAACAAAGTAACACATGAATTAGATAATATTTTTTGTTGCAAGTAGTAGAAAATTAAAAAAATGATTAAAACAACAAAAAAGGTCATTTATTGGCTTACATAATCGGGAAGTCCTGAAAACGCTGGATCCAGGGGCTCATATGATGTCACTCGATCTGTCTCTTTCTCTTTTTTTTTTGCCATGTTTGTCTCTACCTTGCTTCATTCTCAGGTTG